TATTTTTTTGTTCATAAGGCTTCCGTTTAGTTGAAAAGTATGGCATGTTAGTTGGAGGGGTAGACACCCATCGTATGGACTTGTCATCAATGATTATGTTAAAAGACAATCACATATGGAGTCAAGGTAATTGCCTCGTATTTTGCATTTATATTTGTAGTTTTGTCTTTAGACTTTGTATCGTTTTACAATTATCGAATTCTCTTGTCCTTTCCAGGCTCGATAACAAGAGCAGTCCAACGAGCACGCGCTGTTGGTGGCTTTTCATTAAAAGTAGAAGTAGAATGTCAGTCAGAACTCGATGCCACCGAAGCAATTGAGGCAGGAGCTGATATAGTAATGTTGGACAATATGAAAGGAAACGTGTTATCAGAGGCTGCAGCAAATTTGAAAAAGAAATGGAGTGGCACAAGAAAGTTTCTAGTCGAGGCCAGTGGGGGAATCACTGAAGACAATATCACAGAATATTTTCATCCGGGTTGGTAATGAAAAGAGAACGAGCAGGCGTGTATAAAGTTTTCAAATGATAACAACTCTTTTGTGCTTTTTTTTTTGTAGACGTTGACATTTTGAGCATGGGAAGTCTATCCCAAGGCGTGCCTCATGTTGATTTTTCGCTAAAGATAAAGAAGGCACTATAATTTATAGTTTACGACTGAAGATATGCTGATAAGAATCCAGAGTTCCGCTTGCAAATACACAATTACCATTAATTTTATAAATAAACGCTTGATATTCTAATTCTAAAAAAACGTCTTGTGGAGTCATGTGCAATAAATTAATATTCAGATATTAAGAGAATGTCACTTGACAAATGTCACTTTTTGTACGACATTCAGGTATAAACTTTTTTTGATTCGATTTCTGCGCTGGAAAATTTTGCTTTGTAAAATAATGCAAGTTGAGCGTAAACTCCAAAGTTTCCAATTCTACCATGAGATTCTTAAATCCGCTAAATACTTTCTCGCACCAATGGTTGATCAATCAGAATATGCCTGGCGAGTATTATCCCGGCGGTATGGGGCTCAAGTATGTTATACGCCAATGATAAATGCAAGAATGTTTGCTGATAAGAATGGCCAGCGATATAGAGATGAAATTTGGTCGACCGGCGAAGGAGATCGGCCGCTGATTGTCCAGGTATTTTTAAGAAAATAATGGTAGAGGAAGGGAATGTTTGGATAGGTATGATCATAATTAGCAAGATTGAGGATGATAAAAGTTGGCATGATATGATCTGTATTGAAACCAGGAAAGAGGGAATAAATATTCTTTGCTTACATATTACTGTCTCTTGTAGTTTTGTGCAAATGATCCAGAATCGTTATTGAACGCAGCGTTGAGAGTGCAAGATCATTGCGATGCTATTGATTTAAACCTAGGTTGTCCTCAACACATTGCTCGCCGCGGACACTATGGAGCATTCTTGCAGGACGAGTGGGACTTAATTTATAATCTCAGTAAGTTAACTTGCGCCGATCCACTAAAACACTGATCTCTCTAGTTTAAAGATTGCGCTTTTACTTTGATCTTTAATCTGCGGTCAGCAACTTTGCCAACGTCTTTTATTCACATACAAATGTTTTTTCGCCAACTCATTTTCAGTAAACACTCTTCACAAAAATCTTTCAATTCCGGTCACGGCGAAAATACGAATTTTTCCCGATGTAGACAAAACCATTCGATACGCAAAAATGATAGAGAGTGCAGGCGCGCAGTTGCTAACGGTGCACGGTAGAATTCGAGAACAAAAAGGCCATAAAACAGGCCTAGCTGACTGGGAGCAAATACGACGTGTGAAGTATGTGTGATGTAATTTGATGGGGTACTGAATTACCCTTTTGGATTTCTTAACTGGTAAGCAGTAAATTGAAAGGCTGGCTCATCAAGTTGCTCACACTGAATTTGTATTATTTCGAAAACAGAGAAGCCCTTAATATACCCGTCATAGCCAATGGGAACATTTTATACTTTGAAAACATCGAACAGTGTTTGCGCACGACTTTAGTCGATGGTGTAATGACAGCAGAAGGAAATCTCTACAATCCAGCCATATTTGCCAATATTAATCCTCCGATATGGCAAATGGCAGAAGAGTACCTCGAGATATGTCAACGCATTCCGACAAAGATTGCGTATATTAGGGGACACTTGTTCAAGATATTCCGTCCCGCCTTGTCCATACATACGGATATAAGGGATTCATTGGCTAAAGTGAATAAACTTGAAGAATTCATAGAATTGGCCAAGGAGATGAAGAGGAGATTATTGGTATGTATGTTTCGAATAAAGGTATGAATTGGAAGAGGATGTGGATTGTTGTCACTGATCTGCTTTTGTATCGTGATATAATAGATCGATGCTGATAAACACGAACAAGAAGATAACGTCAAAGTAGATGAAAAGGGGTATAAAACCTTTCCTCATTGGTTATGTCAACCATACATACGAACTCTCAAGGAAGAGCCATCAGCAGAGGAACAGATTCGAAACAAGCATAGAGACGAGAAGACTGTTCAGGATGATGCCGATGAGCAAGAGACACTATCAAACGCAATGAACATATTTAATGAATTAGAGCAAGATACATGTGGTGTTATGTTATAGAAAATAATCGTAATAAAAGGCATAGTCTTTGTTTAGTCGATCTAATTAATGTAGATATCTCGAAAAATTAATATTGCAGCAAGTCAAATTTATACATTTCATTATTATATTGATTAGCTATGATTGTGGTTAATTATTTTTTGAATGGCAGTCCATAAAATTCTTTTCTTGTCGGAGAGACGTCCGGGGTTGCGTATTTCTTAATATTACCTGTTGGCAAAAATTTCGAGAATAGTAAGAAGATATTAAAAAATCAAAGACATTGGGAAAGCAACAACTCTGTGGCCATTGCAAGTCTCATCGTTACTTATTCTGTCAATACTGTGTTACCTTGCAATCCTACATTCTGCATTCCAACAAGTTCTTTTTGCACTTTTTCGATATTCCTAAAGTATTTGACGGTTTTTACGTGCAGTTCGAGCGTAGCATCCTCATCACAAACAATAAGAGCTCTCTGATGAAGCTGAATGGCAGAGACTGTCCACATATGATTCACACCTTTACAAGTAACATGGATTAGGATAGGACAGGATAGGATACGATCAAATCGCTAACAATTCTTGATCCCTTTATCTTTTTAATGTTAATCTTACCTTCTTCGATGCACTTGGCCAGAGCCAGTGCCTTATGTGCACCCGTAATAATTATAGCAACTTCACGCGCATCCGTAACCGTACCAACTCCAACGGTTAGGGCCATTCTGGGCACTTTGTTGATATCGTTACCAAAGAAGCGAGAATTCGCCAAGATGGTGTCATAGGCCAATGTCTTAACTCTTGTGCGAGATGTTAGCGAAGATCCCGGTTCATTGAAGGCGATATGACCATCCGGACCAATGCCTTTGTTGTTTCGGTTGGGTAATGTTGAGAGAGAAAGCGAGACAACTTAGCAATGATTAACTGACAAAACTTTAATCGCTGGCTAGTCGATGACTGCAAAAAAAACAGCGATTTTCACAGTCTATCCCTCCGTTTACATGATGTGAGTGATTTCCAAACTTTGTAATGTCAATTTACCTCCAAGGAATAATTCGATTCCGCCAGCCTTTTTAATCGCCTCCTCGTATCTGACACATTCCATATCGAGGTCTTCTGCATTACCGTCAAGGAGATGAACGTTCTGAGGGAGAATGTCAATGTGCTTGAAGAGATGGTTCCACATAAACGAATGGTAACTTTCTGGATGATCTCTATTTTGATTGGGAGGTGTGAGCAAGTGAGTTGGTTAATTTTACGCGATTTTTATGGAGCGCGTGTAGGTGGTTAAATCTGCATGTCTTGAATATTTACTTACCTTGGTAAGCCAACATATTCATCCATATTAAATGTGACCACATGCCGAAAACTCAACTGATTGTTACGATAATACTTTACTAGATTCTTATAAACTCCCACCGGGGACGATCCAGTGGGTAATCCGAGCACAAACGGACGTTCTTCAGTCGGATTGAATTCAAGTATGCGATTTCTAATATATGAAGCTTTTTAATTCGTCCTAATGTGAGTAGTCCATTATCTGAGCATTTTATTAGTAGCGCATATATTTACCCATATATTCACTGACTTCATCGTAATCTGTTCGGATTATTAGACGCATTGCGGATATAAGCCTTTAAATGCTAAGACAATAAGTTGTGTATCAGAAGTATTCAGGTATCCGCTGGGTTACGTGTAATGAAATAGACAGTTCTTATAATTAGGATGTTTGCAGAGAACTTGACGAGTATGTTTTCGGCACGCCCTCTGGTTTGTTTATCATACAATAGAGCGCGCACCAAACACGGTGTTTGATCGCGTGAAGCTCTCGTGGATGTTACAGTATAAAAGAAAAAATTATTATAAACACGCAGATCAGTATCTTTTATACAGTAAATTTCACATTTTATTATCGGGGATGCACGTTTGGAGGTGATCCGAAATCGCCGCGAATAAGGGCCATATATAGGACTCGTGCTCGAACTACGGCGATACTAAAATCAAAGTATATGACGATGATTGGTTAGTAATCAAGTGGGCGAGGGTTAGTTTTATTTTTATTTATGAGAGTTTACTTCTTAAATATAAAAAGTTAGGCACATATGTCCCAAAACTGCTTAACTACATCTTTTACCGACCCGTTAGCCAATCATTCGCTTGTAAATGTCTCGTTCGTTCACTTAAAATCTTTTCCTTGGCGCAAAACGGTTCCAAAACGTGACCTGCGCCTCATTTTTTAAGACTTGTCGTAAGAGAATGGTATGCGGAGAACGTGATCAAATCACTGCTTTTGATATGTCGTAAATTATCTTGTCATATGACGAGTCACGTTAATATTAACTTGATTGCCTTATATGACCACTTCATCACTCAAAGAGCTGGTTAGAAGGACGGACTTTGCATTCTCGCCAGATAACAGCACAAGATGTTCGCAGAAGCAAACTAAGCAATAGGGTTCATCGTTCTTTTTATACAGTATATTAATGCCCTTGCGTGAAATTATTATTTATCGATGTTACTCAATTTTTGAAAAATGGCATTATTTTACAAAAATTAGACCTCAAAACTGCTGAGGATATTTTTACTCGGGGTCTAGACATATTGACACCGCCAAACGCATTGACATCACGGGGCACGCTGACACTACCAAACGCATCGACATCATTGACCACTCGTTACATCAGAAACAGAGTCTGAGTAGAGACACTTTAGTTATACAAATGTTATATTTAGGAAAATGGAATAAAGCTTCCTTAATTAAACGCATCGGAATTATGCACTTTTATAATTAATAAACTCTTCGACTAAGATTATTATTAATTGTCAGTAATAATAAATCACCTCAACTACATGAGCAAGCGTTTTCTACTTAGGATAGACATTTCAAATATTATTGTTGACAGAACATGGACTGGCTCAATTTGCTCGGTTGGAATACAGTGTGTAAACAAACGCGTTACTTTCAAGTTTACTTTCTAATCAGATACATAATATAAATACTCCATAAAATTAAATCGCTCCAAGATAAAAAATTTTTCTACTTCAAATTTTTTGTATTAAAAGGTATCTCGATATATAATTTATGATAAACTGTTAGAGGATTTCCTCGCGCTTCTGACAATACCTCAATTACGTGTACTTCTTTAAATGAAAGAATATGTGTTACCAAACATTTTAAGTTTTTGATTCGGGAACTATGAACACTACTGCTGGTCCTCCATTAAGAATGAACGCAAGAATACAGTATATTACCTGGTAATAAAACCTCAATCAATTACGAGAAAAACTTTAAAAGACAACGTTGTTTGGAGTATTGACTGTCAAGTTATTGAAACACGCGGTCTAGTACAATCCAATATTTTGTAATAGATTATATAACCTGCAATAAATATTACCACCAGCCTGTGGGGATCCGTATCATTTCGTCGACAATCATTTTGCCGACAGTTCATTTTGCCGACAATTAATTACCTAAAAAGGATAATTTCGAAATAATGTTGGTAAACATTTGTCGGCGAAATGATTGTCGGTGAAATGATTGTCGACGAAATGATTGCCTCCCCTTTATATTTAGCACCTTGCGTCACAATTCATCGCGATACAAAAATCTGGTTGGTCAAAATAAAATGATGGACGTAATACAAGCCTTGAGATCACTTCTAATTCAAACTATGTCGTTGGTATCAGAGACTGTTAATAATCCAGCCATTGGCAACTTGATCCAATCCAGTAAATACAATCAACTTGAATGGATTCCTTACCAGGAAATCACCGACGTAAAGCCCGCTCAAGTTGACAACGTTTACTACGCTACTCGCAAGCGCAACCATTATTGTGATGAGACGATAACGCTAGTATTACTTGGAAGTAGCGAAGAATGCACACCAACGCTTGTGAGTGAGTTTGCTAGAATATACTCACTTCCAACACACAAGTACAATAACAATGAC